AATACTGTGTGTGTGTGTGTGTGTGTGTGTGTGTGTGTGTGTGTGTGTGTGTGTGTGTGTGTGTGTGTGTGTGTGTGATGGATCGTTGGAGCTATGTGCAACTCAAGGCATATGCTCGAACGGGAGCTGCGTGAACGCTGCAATCATGTTGCGCGCTATCCGTGCTGAGTGTGCTGACTTCTCGTACAATGTCCCACTGTCTGGCTTCCTGCATAAAGTCAAGTGCTCGGCGCAGTTGTGGCGAAATGTCGCTCCTCTGTTTTCATTTAAACAGCTCCTTATATCCGTTAGCGCAGCTAGCTAGCACCAGATGCTAACAACAACAATGCACGTAAGGTCGCTCTCTCGCTCGCTCGCGCCACACATACACACACCCTCCCGGTCCTCCAGATGGCCAGTCGGTGCCTGCCGGTGAGCGTGGAAGTGTGGTCTGCCACAAGCGGGCAGCAGGAGCGGGGCTGTCAGCATCAGCTTGTAGATGGTATTTTAAACTCGATGCGCTCTGAAACTACGGGGCGGCCGAGGACAAAAAATACACATGCGTTAATCGCGTTAAAATAATTAGTGGCGTTAAAAAATTGTTGTTGCGTTAACGCGTTATTAACGCGTTAACTTGACAGCCCTAGCTTTTATAAATGTATTTATCATGGGTTTGTCCTTTATTGCATTTAATACACACGTTTACACCTTATTCTTAATATGTTAGCCTACTTACTTTATCTTTTATCGGCCCCTTCCCTCTGTTGTAAATGTATACGGTGTATTTCACTAGTTAGGGAGGAATTACAAATATTTCTGATTGTTTTATTTTATGTTTTCATGTTGCCATTAAATAATTCCTTCTTGTGGGAAAATAAAGATTTGATTTGAGATTGTTTTGTGAAATATCTACTTCACTCCATGTATAAATAACCTTTAGATTTGAATCAAAATAGATAGCAAATAACATTTTGATTGAAGTCTATTTTACCTGAGTCTTCACTGTAGATCGATTCATCGCAGACGAGCGATTGTCCTTTATGTTTCCTAGAGGTGGAAAAATAATACATTAAACGTATGATTCAAATTCATAACATATGTCACTAAAATGTCCTTATATATTAGAATATACAATTAAAAAGTCATGGTATATAATTAATAAAAAAAATGTTTAAAAAAGTAAATACATGTCATAGTACAGCATGTCATTACAAAGTCGCAGTTTTGCCATGTGCTATTTATATTTGAACATGGTCAGATTTAGCTTAGACTTTTATGACATTTTGTTGGTTCTTCTTTCCAGTCCTTACAAAAATTATATATTTCATTGATCTCTATTTTTTTTATAGATGTAATGACAAACATAATCAATTTGGAAATAACTAAATAATGTCTGAAAACTGTTAAATAAACAAACACATATTAACCCAAATTACCTGAGGACTTTTCTCTTGATGAAGTGTCCCCGGTGGGAGTCGGGGGTGGAGGAGAGGCTGTCAGTGAGTGGGGGGTGGAGGGTCTCGTCAGGATCCTCCTCCTCCTGCAGCCGACCCGGAGCTACTGCGGGCCGCCGGGGGTTCAGAGACACCGAGTGCTGAGCGTAAGAATCACTGCAGCCCTGTCGGGGGTCTCTGTTCTCACAGGTGGTCAGAACCTGGGGGAAATATACATATACAATACAATGTATTTATCACATGTGATTGCCTATACTTTAGGCGGACAGACAGACAAACCTGACGGACAGACAGAAAGACAGACGGACAGATAGACAGACAGACACATAGACACACAGACAGACAAACAGTTAGACAGACACACACATAGACAGACAGATAGACAGACAGATAGACAGACACATAGACAGACAGACAGACGGACAGATAGACAGACAGACACATAGACACACAGACAGACAGACAGACAGACAGACAGACGGACAGATAGACAGACACATAGACACACAGACAGACAGACAGACAGACACATAGACACACAGACAGACACACACATAGACAGACAGACACACAGATAGACAGACACATAGACAGACAGACAGATAGACACACAGATAGACAGACAAACAGATAGACAGACACATAGACACACAGACAGACAAACAGATAGACAGACAGACGGACAGATAGATATACAGACACATAGACAGACAGACACATAGACAGATAGACAGACACATAAACAGACAGATCTAAATGTTACTATTGTCTCCATTTTGATTTTGTCAAAAAAATAAAACAAACCCTCCCATGATATATACTATCATAGTATTCATAGTACTCACAACCTATACACCCACTTATATATATGCACGTACATATTACCCACATTTACACACTGTGGGAATATTACAGAATAAGAGTATTGAAAACACTCACCTGTCTGTCATGTGCTGCTGGTCCAGGATGTAAGAAAAACCCTTCCCTGGAGCCTTTAAAGTGGCAATTACTGACTGTGAAGACAATCAAATCCTTCACCAATTAACATTCATTTTTTGTGGCAAACCTTAATATTTTAGACTTGATTGCTGCCCTTTTTGTTTGTTTAGAGAGCAGGTTTGTAAAAGTACAGATGTTGTGATTATAATTATCCCACAGTGAGACAATAACAATAATTCATTTATTTTATATAGGCGCCTTTCAAGGCTCTCAAGGTCGCCGTACAAACACATCAAAAACAAGATACACAATACATAACACCAGCATAAGAAACATAAACAAGACAATGCAGTATATAACAAATCAAATAAATCAAACAGAGGATGTGTGATGGATAATGATCGGGGTGGATATGCGAGTGGGAAGAGATGTGTTTTGAGACGTGATTTGAAAATGGGGAGAGAGTCAGTGTTGCGGATGTCAGGTGGGAGGGGGTTCCAGAGGCGGGGTGCAGAGCGGCTGAAGGCTCTAGACCCCCATGGTGGTTAAACAGAAGGGGGTGCAGTGAGGTGGAGGGAAGCAGAAGACCTTTAGGAGATAAGAGCTCGGACCTTTCTCTTTGGTGAAGGCAGGAGGACTCGGCTGTGAAGTGGAGGGGTTCATCTGAGGGGAGGGGGCCAGAGTCTTCCATTCTCCATGTCGGACTAGTTCATCAAGATCTGGCATGACACAAAGAAGAATGGAAACCTTAAAACCAGTTAAAACATGGACATCAATAATGTCAAACTCTTTCCTCCAATTTCCTATATCTTTTGTTGAGATGAAGACGTTTTCATGTTAATCAGACGATGGTTTATTGACCAATATTCTACATTCAAAACATTCGATACAACATTATTAAATGCGCTTCATGTATGTTTCAGAGTCTAACCTTGCTTGAATTCACGCAGTCTGTGTTTCGGTATGTTTTTGTATCCCAGGGCCGCCAGCTGTTGTTGGATTTCTTCTTCTGAGAAATCCAGGTGGTCCATGGTGTGATCCGTTTCAAGCCAAGGAGGAAGCACCGAATCTAAAAAGGTAAAAAACAATATTCAAACAATGTAAATGAGATTTGAAGAATTGAAAGAAGAATGAACGTGCTTTGCCATTCTTCAAGAGCTCAATCAATCACAAGGTAAATGAATAGTACTGTCACTAAATTGTATTTCTCGCTAATCCAAATGAATAGTAACTAATAATAATATAGTGTGTTTAACACTTTATCAGCTGCTATCTCAAGTTAATACAGTAAGTTGCAGAGATGGGAAGTAACTAAGGACATTTACTTAAGGTCAATTTTGAGATACTATTACTGTACTTGAGTATTTCCATGTTATGCTACTTTATACTTCTACTCCACTACATCTAAAAGGGGAAATAACACGCATTTTAAAAGGTGTTTCGCCTGTCGTCTTGTCTGTGAAAGCATTAATTCATGGTTTTCACTAACCGGTATCAGTATGTTGTTACTTCGGCATCATTTTGAACGTGTATTACAATTAAATCACAGTTAAATATGTTCATTTTGTTGTAGTTGTAGCCCACTAGCCATCTCGTCTTGTTTGAATGATGCGAGTAAACACAGCTGACAGCCGCGGTGAAACTCGAGCGTTTTTCAGCTGCTATTTCAAAACAATAACATAAGTTGTGACTATTCTGAAAGCCGAATTTACAAGTAGAAGAAAGCATTTTACGTAACCGTACATGTGTGTTTTATAGCTGTAATTGTGTTGTTAATAATGAAGACAACCCTTAAGTGACAGCGTTTCTAAAGAGGATTTGTTTGTATTTCTTCCGGACCGGTAGCTAACTAGGCTAACAGTTAGCATTCATTAATACAGTAAATATTAACACATTTTAAGAAGTAAAACACGTTTGAAAGGTATTTCTATCACCTGCACTGGAGTCGGTTTGCTACTATAGTCCATCCATCACGATAACATCCCTGGAAAGTGTATTAGTAGTTAGTTTCGTGCTATTGTTTACAGGTCGGACCGCAGCTCCAAGACAACAACAGCCGTTAACTTTAAAAACGACGCCTCCTGCACACAACTTCCGGTATCTCTCTTCTTCGGTGTGCTTATTGGTGGTTGGATAAGTTATGGCGCCACTTAGCGGTAATAGAGTGTAGTGCAGCAGGAGCCGTTTTGCCCTTTAATCAGGTGAGGAAAGTATCAGTACCACAAATGTAAATATGCTCAATTTTCATTGAAAATCTTTCATTTAAAATGTACCTTAAGTAAAAATATGAGTTGCTGATGATAGATCAGCTTGCCTACTCTTCCTTGGGTCTGATAAACAATATATAAAACAAACAAATAATAAGACATTAACAAAATAAGGATAACAGTTCAGTGTGTCAAATACCGAGAAGATGTTTTAATCTCCTCTTCCTCTTCTTCTTCTTCCTCCTCCTCCTCCTCCTCCTCCTCCTCCTCCTCCTCCTCCTCAGCTTCTCATGAATAATCAGTATTCCTAGCTCTCCTCCCAGCAGACGGTGGGTGTTTCCAGTCTTTCAGGTGAACCGTGAGCCCTTTTCTAATCTGGGAAAAAGGGAATTTTCTCCTCTCCCTCCGGCCTGGGAAGACCATGTCTCTCTCCAGGACCTACCGAGAGTCTCTGCTGGTGATTTCTACTGGCAAATCGTGCTGATCTGCTCGGCTCAGGTGAGAACAGCTGCTCTCTATATTCCTGAAATACTCCTAAAGGTGCTTGAAGCAAGTCTGTGGTGCTCAGTGGGGCGAATTGTACTTTATTGTGTTTTAAAGATAATTGTATGAAGAAAAAGGTGTTGTAATGACCCTTAAAACGTATATTTGAATTGTTACTGATATTGTTTTGATCTCTTATTGAAGCATATTTTATATTCTTCTGGCACTTTCTGCTTATCTGTTTGGCTCTGTAATGACTAGACTTTAATGTAAACTCATATTTTCATTATATTTGAACATATTTTTGGTATTTTTTATTATATTGATCCATGAAAACGTACTGTGTGTTTTTCTGAAGAGACACACTTATACTTGCATTTTTATCAAATATCTTTGAATCCCTTTCACAATTCTCAGGGACTCAAGAGTTCTGTAAATACTTTATTGTTTTGGTATTGGATTCTCTTTGACAGCGTGTAATGCTATTGTGTGAGACATGTATACAACCCCCTCCCCTTTATCATGATACTCTCTTTTTAAAATATATATCCTGAATCCATGCAAGGACAATATCACTCTTTAGTTCTCATGATATATTCCACTTTATTTGATTTCATGTTGAAAAAGTGAGACTTAAGGTGTTTTGTGAGAAAAATCTTGAAATATATGCAAACAAAAACAGACTTCAACTATTTTCTGATTGTTTTTCTAAAAATGGTCCATACGGTGGTCCATTCGTCCCAGTGCTCCGATCAGCAGTAATCCGAACACATGCAGATACTTACGTGTAATGTGAGAATAATGTGAGCGCAGGTTCAGTTTCGTGACCTTTCCCCTCGCATCACCCGAACAATGAGGCTCTGTTCGGCCGCCCTTCAAACCTCAGCAGCAGAAACATGGATGATATTAAGAGATGGGTTTCAGTCAGAAAAAGTGAAAACTGATTTTTGTCTGTCTGTGTTTGTTTTCCAGAGGGGCCCGGTCGGTCCCCGAGGCTCCCTGGGGCCGCCCGGAGTAGCAGGCGTACCCGGAGTGGACGCCATTGATGTGAGTCAACGGGGAAGCTTTCATGATGTGGGATTACGTTTATTTCTGTTTTAATCAGCTCAGAAAACAACAGGTATTGTTTTGCGCAAAAAGCAGCAGCTTGTGTTAACAATGAGGCCTTTTTGGAAATGAAAAAAGGTCGTCACATGACTTCATCCTGACTGTGTTACACTTTCAACCCCAATTATTAATCTCAAAATGTAGCCAAATGTAGCTCAAACAGAGCAGCTGTTGTTACAGCAAAAATGATTTTTGTTATCCAATTAAAAAACCTCAAATATATTATCATTACATAAAAAAGGACCATAGCCAAATGTCATGGGTTCAAGCTCCCCCATAATGCACCAAGACATTCTTTGATGGTCTTAGTGCTGATTCAAAGCCCTCTTCACCTAACATCCTGAATCCTTTACAAAATCAAGATATGTTGAGTCAAACATGTTGGAATCAGTTTATAAAATAACCTTATTATGTATGATTTTCTTTTTATTCTAGAATTGTACACATACATGTACCAGGTTCGACGACCCCCCATACAATGTTCAATATATGCAAGGATTGTACGATTTTAAAATGTAACTTCTTACTGGCATTGGATATTAGCTTTAGCATTATACATTATGTGTACAGACTGTCAAGGTGCCACTGTTTGGCCTTTATAAATAAAATAAATCAATCAATAAAAAAACGTAATAGTAATACACAAAAAGGACATGACTCCAGTGTCCTCAGTGGTAGCAACGCCCTGTCCCACAACAATACAAACCTCTTAAATATTACAAAAAATCCACTATTTTCTTTACATTTAAATGATATGTTCTTCCTGTGTCTTCAGGGCGACAGAGGAGAAGACAACACAGTGACCGGCGGACCAGTGAGTGGACTTTTGATTCCTCTTTCCTCTTTCCTCTTTCCTCTTTCCTCTTTCCTCCTCTTCCTCTTTCCTCTTTCCTCTTCCTCTTTCCTCATGCAGAGATGTGTGATGGATCAGAAACCCTCAGAGTTAGAGAGGTGAACTTCTAACTTCTGCTTGCAGGGCCCAGACGGAGATAATGGAAAAGACGGAGCTGCAGGAGCTGCAGGACTCCCAGGCGCAGACGTGAGTCAGACATCACGTTAAACACAGAAGAGTTTATTTGGGTTGTGGCTGGTTTAGTATTCACGCACCACACTCATTTCACAGCCACTCTGCAATCCACTAGTTGCTTTTTCCCAGTGATGAGGAAAACAATGCATGAGAGCAATGGTGTAAAGTCCGTTTACTCAAGTACTGTCCTTAAGTACTATTTTGTCATACTTGTACTTGAGTATATCTATTTTATGATGCATACATTTCTAATTTAATCCAATTTTGTTGGCAAATATTGTAGTTTTTACTCCTCTATTTACTTTGTACGTGTAAAAACGCCAATATGTTACAAAGTAAACCTTTAGTAAATTGGCCCCACATTGCAAAATTACAACATTTAAATGCTTGCATGTATTTCTTAGTGATACAAGCAGACGATATACTATTCTTTAATATAATACTATGAAAAGAGCCATTTTGCATACTGGGTATTTTTAAATGAAATACTTTTGTTCATTTTGCACACATTAATTAACATTTCCAATTCAGGATTTGTACCTAAAACAGAGTATACTTAAAGCCCGTAGTCTATCTACTTCTACCTAAATAGTAGTAGTAGTACTTCTTCCCCTCCTGCATGAGTTTCCCTCCGCGCTGCGGGTTGAACTCTCCAACAAGAGGATGTATTGAATCTCTGTAAGATCTGAGCCGGTCAGATCTGCCGCAGTGGGAGCAGTTTGTCTTGGCTTCAAACTGAGTGAAAAGAAAACACGTTGAATAAATCAATCTGGGCTATTTAAGGGTAGTCTCCAGTTGCTTCCTGACAGAAACAGGGGTCTTTTTGTGTGAGACGGAGGGGGATCGGCTGCCCAGAGAGAGAGAGCGTATGCTGGGTGTGTGGAGCAGAAAGGGCTCAGTGTGTCTGAGATGCTGCGGAGGACAGACTGCAGATTCAGAGCTGAGGATTCAAACGGAGAAAAGAAACCAACATGTGGACCAAGATGCACAATCACACTTTGAGGGAAGAGTGGGAGAGAGTGTCTGCACCTCCAGAGGCATAAGAGAGACCAGTATGCAGGGGTTTGGTATAAAAGGAACTTGGCATCTACTCTCATCTGAGGAGGGTCTACTTTGTTGCCATCATTGGCTGAGGTAAAGTTGTAGGCGTCTTCTGGTTCCTTCGTCCAGGTCTAGAGTGTTTGGAGAGTTATTATGCAGCAGGCAGGTGAGAGGCAGAGGTGGGAGAAGTACTCAGATCTTCTAGTACAAGTAGAAGTACTCAGATCTTCTAGTACAAGTAGAAGTACTCAGATCTTGAGTGAAGGAATACTTTAAAAATAGTTTATAAATACAAAAAAAAGGAAACCTCTCGATTAGAAGTTACCAAACTTAAGAGAGACGTTCGGGTCATGCTGACACAATGTTGCATTTACAAAAATAATAAAGGTTTAGTTATCTGATGCCAGACAATCAACTAAAAAAGGAGTCAGGAAACAAATACTATCCAAATAACTCTGGTACTTGAGTAAAAGTAGAAGCACTCAGATCTTGTACTTGAGTAAAAGTAGAAGTACTCAGATCTTGTACTTGAGTAAAAGTAAAAGTACCCAGGTCTTGTACTTGAGTAAAGTAGAGTACTCAGATCTTGTACTTGAGTAAAAGTAGAAGTACTCAGATCTTGTACTTGAGTAAAAGTAGAAGTACTCAGATTGTACTTGAGTAAAAGTAGAAGTACTCAGATCTTGTACTTGAGTAAAAGTAGAAGTACTCAGATCTTGTACTTGAGTAAAAGTAGAAGTACTCAGATCTTGTACTTGAGTAAAAGTAGAAGTACTCAGATCTTGTACTTGAGTAAAAGTAGAAGTACTCAGGTCTTGTACTTGAGTAAAAGTAGAAGTACTCAGATCTTGTACTTGAGTAAAAGTAGAAGTACTCAGATCTTGTACTTGAGTAAAAGTAGAAGTACTCAGTCTTGTACTTGAGTAAAAGTAGAAGTACTCAGATCTTGTACTTGAGTAAAAGTAGAAGTACTCAGATCTTGTACTTGAGTAAAAGTAGAAGTACTCAGATCTTGTACTTGAGTAAAAGTAGAAGTACTCAGATCTTGTACTTGAGTAAAAGTAGAAGTACTCAGATCTTGTACTTGAGTAAAAGTAGAAGTACTCAGATCTTGTACTTGAGTAAAAGTAGAAGTACTCAGATCTTGTACTTGAGTAAAAGAAGTACTCAGATCTTGTACTTGAGTAAAAGTAGAAGTACTCAGATCTTGTATGAGTAAAAGTAGAAGTACTCAGTCTTGTACTTGAGTAAAAGTAGAAGTACTCAGATCTTGTACTTGAGTAAAAGTAGAAGTACTCAGATCTTGTACTTGAGTAAAAGTAGAAGTACTCAGATCTTGTACTTGAGTAAAAGTAGAAGTACTCAGATCTTGTACTTGAGTAAAAGAAGAAGTACTCAGATCTTGTACTTGAGTAAAAGTAGAAGTACTCAGATCTTGTACTTGAGTAAAAGTAGAAGTACTCAGTCTTGTACTTGAGTAAAAGTAGAAGTACTCAGATCTTGTACTTGAGTAAAAGTAGAAGTACTCAGATCTTGTACTTGAGTAAAAGTAGAAGTACTCAGATCTTGTACTTGAGTAAAAGTAGAAGTACTCAGATCTTGTACTTGAGTAAAAGTAGAAGTACTCAGTCTTGTACTTGAGTAAAAGTAGAAGTACTCAGATCTTGTACTTGAGTAAAAGTAGAAGTACTCAGATCTTGTACTTGAGTAAAAGTAGAAGTACTCAGGTCTTGTACTTGAGTAAAAGTAGAAGTACTCAGATATTGTACTTGAGTAAAAGTAGAAGTACTCAGATCTTGTACTTGAGTAAAAGTAGAAGTACTCAGATCTTGTACTTGAGTAAAAGTAGAAGTACTCAGATCTTGTACTTGAGTAAAAGTAGAAGTACTCAGATCTTGTACTTGAGTAAAAGTAGAAGTACTCAGATTGTACTTGAGTAAAAGTAGAAGTACTCAGATCTTGTACTTGAGTAAAAGTAGAAGTACTCAGATCTTGTACTTGAGTAAAAGTAGAAGTACTCAGATCTTGTACTTGAGTAAAAGTAGAAGTACCAGAGTGTAGGAATACTCTGTTACAGTAAAAGTCCTGCATTCAAAATGTTCCTCAAGTGAAAGTATAAAAGTATTCTCATCTAAATATAGTGAAAGTAGCGACAGTGAAAGTAGTCGTTGTGCAGATTGGTCCATTTCAGAATAATATATATGATATGTTTTATAATGATTGATCATGAAAGTGTTCTCAAAGCTGGTAAAGGTGCAGCTAGTTTGAATGACTTTGTATACTGCAGGGTAGCTGGTGGATTTACTCCAGGTGGAACTAAAGTCTGATTTAAGAGTACTTAGTTACTTCCCACCTCTGGTGAAGGGAGGAGCTAAAGAATAGTAGGAACACCACACCTCTCCGTCTCTGGAGAATCAGGGGAAGCAGAAGACACTTTTATACATTTCATAGAAGAGTTATTCTAATCATTCATGTCTTGGTTTATAAGAACATTATAAGAACATCATACATATTTCTCCTCTAGCTTGCAGTGCTATTGAATGGCCTACATTGTTTAGCTGTGAGTTGCTGAGTTTTGGAGATGACTGCCTTCTCTTGAATGTATTGGTCTAAGAAAACACTCAAAGCAGCAGAACGTAGAAACGGTGTGGCTGTCTGATACTTTGTGGATTTATAGGCTGCATTTTTGCAATGGTCCGATAAATCCCTTAACTTAGTAAAGGACCCAAGTACAAAAATAAGACTACATTTGATAAATAGACGTTTTCAAGAAGTTGTTTACATGCTAGTTCAGTTAAACCTGTCCGTGATGTTTGATGTTAACCCTTTCAACGCAGATGTAGTTATGTATTCAACTTCTGCCGGCAGGAATCTGTCAAATACTGTTCATCTCTCTCTTATACAGTAAACATTAACAGTATGTGAAGTTATTAGACACTAAACTTGAATGTCAGATGTCAGGGTCTGCATTTATTTGCACCAAGATCAGCATTGTCAACATTTGTACATTTGGTTCTTTATTCAAACTGATCTTATATCAGTCAAATGTAGAGAGTATTAAGAATACTGTAAGTCTGTCATTAACATATTTCAAGTCATCTCAAGACCAGTAGCCCATTGCATAATATCACTGGTTGCAACTTTCTCAGAAAACGCTTTTTTAAACAACTTCAGTAATAGTGTCTTTTCAGGTGAATGTTAGCCAAGAAAAACTAATGTGACAAACATACAGAGACAGCCTCTATTAAAGCTACACACACGTCTGAGCCAGGAGCGTTAAGCCTTTAGCATTTCTGATTTGTGTTCATTATTATTTAGAAAAATCACATTCTAGTGCTTTTGAATATACATGTAGGGACCAGGAGTGCTAACCAACCCACAAAGTAGGGCTGCTCGATTATGGCAACAATCATAATCTCGATTATTTGGGTCAATAATTCAATCCATCAATCAATGTTTATTTATATAGCCCAATATCACAAATGTTACATTTGTCTCAGTGGACTTCACAGTGTGTACAGAATATCAGTATGACAATACGACACCCTCTGTCCTTAGACCCTCTGTCCTTAGACCCTCTGTCCTTAGACCCTCTGTCCTTAGACCCTCACATCGTACAAGGAAAAACTTGCGAAGAAAACCCACAGTTTAAAGGGAACATGGGAGAAACCTCAGGGAGAGCAACAGAGGAGGGATCCCTCTCCCAGGACGGACAGACGTGCAATAGATGCCGTGTGTAAATTATAATTGTATAATTATAATAATTGATATCACAATTATTAAAAACGATTATCCATTTATTTTGAAAACATCCATTTATTGAAAAAAGGTGTAGTATGTTGTAACAGTTGATTACCCTGAACTTTAAGTGTAATTCAATTGAAAAACCACTAAAACAAATAATGTTTAAAACAAATAAATAATAATAATATATATTTTTTTATTTCGATTATTTTGTTTTCATAATTGTTGCAAGCCAAAATCGTAATTGCGATTAAAATATGATTAATTGAGCAGCCCTACCACAAAGTGTTATATTGTCAGTTTTGGTGGGCTTTTTGTGGGTTGCTTAGAAACGTCCATACTATGAAGGCTCATTACAATGACACTTCACACACAGCTTGTAAACCATCACCACAAAGATGCCCCATATTGGTCTGACGGTCCAATCAGAACTCTTTCATCAGGAGGTCGTGCGTTTGGACAGAGCGTTTCTGACGGATGGTTAATAAAGATTTATTTAGACAGGAATAAGGAGGAAAATAATGTTTTCTTTTGACATTGAAGCATGTAGTGTTCTACCAGAAACCCAACATTAAGGTGTGAACCTGAAGATGTCCTCTTTAAATGCGTTGTGTCTCCTCTGCAGGGACTTGTTGGACCTTCTGGAGATCCGGGAGCACTCGGGCCAAACGGACCAAAAGTACGTTCATCATCAACATATTTGAATTATTTGTTTGATCTTTTCTGTTAAAATGTAAGCACTACATCTAACACCCTGTCTGCAGAGATGCACATCCTTTTGCATGGCCACAGCTCTGTGCATATGTGGTTATAGAAGAACATATTTCTCTTCCTTTTTTAATATTTCTGGTATTACATTTGACATTTCTTTTCTTATTTGTTTTCAGGGAGATGCTGGAGCTCAAGGGCCTCCTGGAGAGCTTGTAAGTACACATATTACCTGAAGTACATTTATGTTTTAATGATATACACATCAGATTATGTACGAAACTGTGAGAGAGTGAATATTAGCTGCTTAGATGTTAGGATACAAAGTCCGGATAACATGTTAAAAGATATGATTTGTGCTTAACTCTATAGCTTACAAACTACTTAATGAAGAACTGACATGATTTGGAGAAAAATGTCATCAGTCTTTGTTTCATATTTCTGTATATTATTGTTATTCTGATGACCTCTTAGTCTAATTTTAAACAGTATATGATCACTAAAATAATAGATATTTAAAGACAGCATATGTTGTTAGCATTGAATGTATTCTAGTCTGCACAGTTAATACATATAAAAAATTGGCTGCATTTAAATCTTTTTTTCGAGGACCAACGACAATTTGCCATCAAGACTACTGTTTATTTATTTCTGTACAAAAGTCTAAGTCTAACAATCACTGATTTCTCTCTCACAGGGTGTAGGACCTGATGGGCTGGATGTGAGTACAAACACAATACAAAATATCACACTCTATACACAACTGTAATATACAGTAAGGGTAAACACATTTATAGTTAAGGTAAGTATTTACTTTTGTATGAACTTTAAGCATTTTCACACTGTATTTTCACTTAAGTAAAATATCTAAAAATGTCTTCCACCTTGTTAAGAGTAGATTAATATTTGTAATTAGATGTATGTACAAACAATGCAGAGTTTCAGAGGCTTCACGTTCTCCTGTTTTGTTTACAGGGTATTCCAGGTACAGATGGGCTTCCAGGTGAATTGGGCAAAGTTGGACCAGGCGTAAGTACACTTATTTGAAATCGTATTATCGCTAATATTTGTCATCTTTACAAATAAGAAATTACAAGCATTAGCAATCTATTTCTAAATGTCCTCAGGATGTTGGAGAAGAACAGAATATATAAATAATATGTATATTTAAGGGTAGCTGCTGCTGATGCTGCATTAAGATTTAAGATTATTGTCCTAATGCTGTATTTATAAAGACCTTTTACCATATTTCACAGGGAGCGAGAGGCAAGAGAGGTCAAGTTGGTCTTTCTGGTGCTGCTGGGCCGCGGGTAAATATCACAGCTTCTGTCTCTATTTCTGTCTCTATCTAATAATACATTTAATTTCTATAGCGCTTTTCTTGAACCCAAAGACGCTTTACATTTGGGAGGGAGGGTAGACAAACAAAACAAAACCAAAAAGAAACAAAACAGAAAAGTAGTCAGGAGGAAGTTGATTGAGAGGGGGGGGGGGGGGGGGGGTTATGGATACAGAGTTGAAGAGGTGGGTTTTGAGGCGGGACTGGAACAGGGTGAGGGACTCAGATTCACGGAGGTATTGGGGGAGGGAGTTCCAGAGCTTCGGGGCTGCCACAGAGAAGGCTCTGTCCCCGAAGCTCCGGAGTTTGGCCTTGGGGATGGAAAGCAAACCGGCTGAGGTGGATCTGAGGGACCGGGGTGGTTGGTAGAGGATGAGGAGGTCAGTGAGGTAGGGGGGGGGGGGGGGGGGCAGATGGTGGAGGGCTTTGAAAGTGAGGACCAGGAGTTTGTAATGGATGCGGTATCTGTGAGGCTGATATAGTTAAGGGTGGTGGGCACGTGTTATATTACATTTTAAAATGGCTGGGCATCTCCTAATGAGAGGGTTTGTTAGATGGATGGGGAGAAGTGTGGGCAACACATTTTTAGGGTAATGTGTTTTTTTGGATAAAGGAACAAAAGGAAACTACATTAGTGATATGAAGTCTCTTTGAGCTCACGACACATTCTGTGTTTGTTCTAGGGTCTTCCAGGCGTGTATAATGGAGAGGACCTGGTAAGTTTGATCCCAAAACAGATCCATTTATCATCATTTCTAAAACACTGCTCTCTGCCTTAAGAAGATACAATTACTTGACTTGAATGATGACTGGACTCGCAAAAATGTTGGTATAAAACACAGACTATAAAGACACACTATTTTACAAAGGGTGCAAGGTGAAAGCATCTTCCATTTTGAATACAAAACCATATATGCTTTAAGGGAGCTTTTATTTGGCCAATATTCCATTATTGCTGGGTTATTATTATACAACTCAAAGCCAGACTGATGTGTTCAAGTGCTCATGGAAAGCTCAGACATCTGAAACTCAACTAGCAACTAACTTAAATCAAGAACATTGCAACTTTAACTAACTTCAAGTCGACAAAAAGATACATTTCATAGCTGATTTCATAGCTCATACCTTTTCCATGATTAAAACAACAATAAAGTAAAAGCAATATGCGGTAAAGATGCATCTTTAGAAACATTCGTTCCCACAGTTAGCTCAGTAAAGTCACAGTTAGCTCAGTAAAGTCACAGTTAGCTCAGTAAAGTCACAGTTAGCTCAGCAAGGTCTCAGTTAGCTCAATAAGGTCACAGTTAGCTCAGTAAAGTCACAGTTAGCTCAGTAAGGTCACAGTTAACTCAGTAAGATCACAGTTAGCTCAGTCAGCTTACAGTTAGCTCAGTAAGGTCACAGTTAGCTCAGCAAAGTCACTGTTAGCTCAGTAAGGTCACAGTTAGCTCAGTAAAGTCACTGTTAGCTCAGTAAAGTCACAGTTAGTTCAGTAAGGTCACAGTTAGCTCAGTAAGGTCACAGTTAGCTCAGTAAGGTCACAGTTAGCTCATTAAGGCCACAGTTAGCAGTTAGCTCAGTAAGGTCACAGTTAGGTCACAGTTAGCTCAGTAAGGTCACGGTTAGCTCAGTAAAGTCACAGTTAACTCAGTAAGATCACAGTTAGCTCAGTTAGGTCACAGTTAGCTCAGTAAGGTCACGGTTAGCTCAGTAAGGTCACAGTTAGCTCATTAAGGCCACAGTTAGCAGTTAGCTCAGTAAGGTCACAGTTAGGTCACAGTTAGCTCAGTAAAGTCACTGTTAGCTCAGTAAAGTCACAGTTAACTCAGTAAGATCACAGTTAGCTCAGTTAGGTCACAGTTAGCTCAGTAAGGTCACGGTTAGCTCAGTAAGGTCACAGTTAGCAGTTAGCTCAGTAAGGTCACGGTTAGCTCAGTAAGGTCACAGTTAGCTCAGTAAGGTCACAGTTAGCTCATTAAGGCCACAGTTAGCTCAGTAAGGTCACAGTTAGCTCAGTAAGGTCACAGTTAGGTCACAGTTAGCTCAGTAAGGTCACAGTTAGCTCAGTAACGTCACGGTTAGCAGAGTAAGGTCACGGTTAGCTCAGTAAGGTCACAGTTAGCTCAGTAAGGTCACAGTTAGCTCAGTAAGGTCACAGTTAGCTCAGTAAGGTCACAGTTAGCTCAGTAAGGTCACAGTTAGGTCACAGTTAGCTCAGTAAGGTCACGGTTAGCTCAGTAAGGTCACTGTTAGCTCAGTAAAGTCACAGTTAGCTCAGTTTGGTCCCTGGGGTCTCGAGACAGTGGAGCCCCCTGGTGGCGGGGCTCTTCCATGACCTCAAATAGGCTCTTGTGTTTTTCAGTGTCCCAACGCCTGCCCTTCTGGACTCCACGGACACTCTGGACTACCCGGCATGAAAGTGAGTGAAATTTCCCTGATGCTGATATTTCCTTCTTTAGATGCTCATTCATTTATTTAATTGTTGTACTGTTTTACTAGCTACATTTTATGGATGAGTTGAATAACTCACCTGTCTGTCTTTAGGGCCACAAAGGAATTAAAGGTGAATCTGGAGAGCCCGGGAGACAAGGACACAAGGTAACATACTGTCCTCGCACACTAAGTTAAAATACGTCTGATAACATATGTATCAAAAATGTTTTCAGCCGAGATAAAGTGTTAGCCTACCAAAAGTGAACTGTTGTTTTTTTCCCCATTGAATATAATTATGTTTAATACCATTTATAAATGCGGCAGGATGAATGAAACACAACCTACTTAGAATACACAACTTCTATGATAATCATACTTTTACATATGTATACTTGTGCATCACATGAGCTAGCTAAACCAATGTGAAGTGTTTATACATGTTGTTAGTAGGGTCTCTGTCCTTAAAAAAAAAAGTTTAGCCAAGGGATCTCTGGCCTGACAGTTTCTTGTCTTTATTTGCAGCTTTTGCAATAATGTTAAAGTAAATGAAAGAGGAAATACGTAATGCATTTCTTGATATCACAGCATGACATTACTCACGTTCTCTTTCAGGGAGAGGAGGGCGAACAAGGAACGTTGGGAGAAGTCGGATCTCAAGGACTACCAGTAAAATATTTCACCATCCTCTCTCCACATGCTTCAAAATAAGATACCACCTCACAGTCAAACATATTAACATGGGACATTTCCATCTCCTCTCCTCTTTCCGCTGAGTAATTTTAGGGTCCCGGTGGAGCAAGAGGCCTCCAAGGAATATTTGGCTCCAAAGGCGACAGGGTAAGACGTCAAACACACAAGATGCAAACATTTCATGGAGAATTAAACAGATAAGGAAATTAAAGTCCATCATGTTGGATCCAAGAGACAGAACGTTTATAAAATCATCTTGTTTTAGCACACAGCCTCCATCAGGTTCTGCTTTTACAGAGGAAATAAAGGCACAGGGTGTTTCTCAATGTCGAGGACGCTTCCTTGGTAGGACATGTCTTCCGAGTCAATTATTCAGAAGCGAGGCAAGAATCCTTCCTCGCCTCGGAAAACGAAGAATGGTGGAACAGGCTAACAGGTGTGCGTCATATGCGAGGCCCCGCCTTAAATGGAGCGCAATTTCCGCCAAAGATTTGAAAATTGGTCCGTGCGCAAAGCATTGTGGGGATTTTAAGACCGCGGAGGATACACATGTGCAGCCTCGAAATGTCTCGCTACGAAGTACGCCGGCCTCGGTAGAATTCCAAGGAGCCTGGACATTGGAAAAGTCCTTCGGCGGGACTCGATGACGTAGCATCCTTGAAATAGTGGCTCTGGAGTATCCTTCCTCGACATTGAGAAACACCCACAGTTTATATACAAACACCACAACATGGCTGACTATCAATCGTCCAATCAGGAGAAAGCACCTGTTGGCTAACCTTTTCCTTCAAAGACATTATAAAATAAAAACTTATAAAGCAGGCAGCTCAATTTATTTCTATTTACTATTATAATCATCACTGTTTTTTTATTTATATATATTTTTGGAATTTCTATTTTTTTGCTTTCTTGTATTGCTTTATAGTAAACATGTTTGATTATAGCTAGAAGAATAACACATGTGAGAATACTGATTATACTTTTTAAATAAATACATGCAATAACAGAATGATGGAAAAATATATTAAAAAGACTTTAACGGTCATTATTATTTTATCTTTTTATCATGTCACTTTCTGCAATTTGGAATAAGAACCATGTGCACGTAGTTTTGACAGGTTTAGCGTGCAAACCTTATGTCACCAGATGCATTGGATGTTTGTGTTGACGTACATTGATGTCTCTCCTATTTAAACTTTGACTGACTACAACATTCCCATCTCTACAAACAGGGTCTTCGTGGAAAATCAGGAGATGGTGGTCCTCAGGGAATCCAGGGAGCCCCAGTGAGTCCCCATATCTGTTTCACAAATGTTGACGCCCTCATTGTTATTTAGAAATAAACACTGATGTCATTTTTCAGGGCGATGTGGGTCAAAGAGGAGTCATCGGTGAGAGCGGGCCAGCAGGAGTTCAGGTAAGATCCAATAAGATCAAAAACAACAACAGAGACACAATTTAGCAGTTGCAAACTTATACTGATGTCTGTACATATGGTTTACTGTCTTACCCTTGTGTTGTCTTCGAAAGCTGTTACCGTTCGCGGGTCAATTTGAATTATATACTGATATACACCTGAACATCAGCAGGAGAGGACTCTTTAAAGTAGAGACACTACATACTGATATCCACCTGAACATCAGCAGGAGAGGACTCTTTAAAGTAGAGGCACTACATACTGATATACACCTGAACATCAGCAGGAGAGGACTCTTTAAAGTAGAGACACTACATACTGATATCCACCTGAACATCAGCAGGAGAGGACTCTTTAAAGTAGAGGCACTACATACTGATATACACCTGAACATCAGCAGGAGAGGACTCTTTAAAGTAGAGACACTACATACTGATATACACCTGAACATCAGCAGGAGAGGACTCTTTAAAGTAGAGACACTACATACTGATGTACACCTGAACATCAGCAGGAGAGGACTCTTTAAAGTAGAGACACTACATGCTGATATACACCTGAACATCAGCAGGAGAGGACTCTTTAAAGTAGAGACACTACATACTGATATACACCTGAACATCAGCAGGAGAGGACTCTTTAAAGTAGAGACACTACATACTGATATCCACCTGAGCATCAGCAGGAGAGGACTCTTTAAAGTAGAGACACTACATACTGATATACACCTGAACCTCAGCAGGAGAGGACTCTTTAAAATCCTGTTTCTTCTTGAATTATATCAACAAACTTCCTAAAACTTAATTAAAATACTCTTTTCAATGTCACTGTTTTTTTTTTCCATGTCTCTTTTTGTTTCTTACAGGGTGAACGTGGTCCATCTGGAATCAGAGGAGTGCCCGGGCTGAAAGGAGAGGCTGTGAGCAGCGCTTCATTTTATCTATCATAAAATAAATGCATTCATAAATGTATCCATCTTCCTACCTTACCACAGTCTTGCTGCTTTCCTATTCATATTACAAACTCGTTCTATCAAACGCAACTACCAACTTTCCCTTTGTTATTACTTTACTTTTTGATATTTCTTTCTTCATGTAATGCAATCAAATGAATGCAATTTATGTACAATATTCTATATTTTAAGCTGTTCTCTAAGGCATTAAGATGCTGGTTGCCAATTCAACTGTGCACCCAATACATCTAATACATCTATTCTAAAAAGATCTGTTATTTAAAGAGACACATTTGTGCAATTAACTTTGTAAACCCTTTTATTTTTACTGTCAACAGGGTCTTGCTGGTCCAGATGGCCGAGAGGGGATTCCTGGTCTTCCAGCAATCAAGGTAAATATTATTTATTTATATTTTTCAGAGGTTTTACTGCAAAACAATCGTTAAAGAAGTGTGTTTTCAGATAAAGCCTAAAGTCTCAATCTTAAGACCTTAAGAGAACTTGTGCATTTTAACAACACCAATTGTTTGTGTTGTTTTTAGGGTATTCCAGGGAAAAATGGGGGTCCAGGTGATGCCGGCCTACAAGGACTTCCTGTAAGTAACTTTTGACCCAAAGCTTCTGATTCCTTATTGAAAGTGTGAGATTTCTTTGATGTTTCATACTGTTTTCTCCATGTAGGGTTTGCCAGGCTCTTATGGCCAAAAAGGAGTCAGTGGTGTAGTGGTATGATCATATTTTTATATTTATATTCTAAGGCCAAATTTAAATTGTATGTTATGTTTTAATGAAATGTCTTTTTTTTGCCACCAGGGTACCGCAGGTGATCCAGGTGTTTTAGGAATGATGGGGTCTCCAGGGAAACAAGTGAGTAAAATAACATTTTATTTTTATTTTAAAGCAAGAGTATTGAAGTAAGTATGTCAAATCATTTTAAATTACCCGAAAAACAGCTAATTGTCTTTGGATTTTATTGGTTTGAGCCATTTATAAAATTGAGGTAATTTCAAACCACAAAAAACAACCAACAGTTTTGAAGTATCTGCTCTTTCACTAAATTGTATTATGCTGCTACTTCTTTTTTACCATGGTTTTGCACTTATTTGATTTTATGATATACACAATATACAATATAATAGCCATGACATATTGTCTATTTGCTGTTGTAACACCATATATTTCCCCACCTTTGGAGGAATAAAGGATTTTGTATCCTGAAAAGCTGTTATGTGTTTAACTTCTTCTCAGTGCTGATAATTATTTGCATTGTTTCCAGGGGGAGCGTGGAGACCAGGGAGGAGTTGGAGCAGTCGGACCCAGAGGAGGACCAGTGAGTCAAATGCATCTATTTCACTTACATCTGTTTTGTGTCTCCATGAGATAGAAAATAGATTGTTAGCGCATCATCCCCTTAACTTCCTTCCCCAACACTAGCTTCTCATTCTGGGCTGGGGTCAAATGATCAAATAAATGAAGTCCTATATCTTTTCATTAACACTTTTCCTTGAGCTCGATGGAATAGATCACAAAGTCAAGGAAAGATGGGATGGAGACTCTAACTGCACTTACACATGGCTATGTAATTATGCAATGGCGAATGACATTGAAGTTGTTCTGCTATGGTGAAACATCGATGTTGAGAAGATGGAATATTAAGAGTGCAGACCTTCTCCCTGTGGGTTTTACCAAGTTTTTTCATGCAGGCTTTATAAACGTGAAGATTATAACTTCCAATATCACTAAGGTTAAAACTAAATAAGGAATATATTCTACCAGCAACAAAAGTTAAATGAAATAGTTGTCACATTAAGAATGCTCACGCTCCTGACCATCCATATTTATAGTCTTGAATCCAAGCGACAAACTCTGGTGCTAAAAAATGAAGCCAACACGGATGTGCCATAAACTGCAGTTCCTTTAATGGCCACTCAAGGCTAAAAGTTAGGAAATGACTATTCCACCTTGCCAAGGCAGATCTGATCATCCATAGTGTTTCTAACCCTAAAGTCCTGCTCTTTGTTTATTGGGCCAACCATCACACACTAACAGGACATTACACAAGCCCCAAATCCCCTTAATTAAACTACAGGCACATTGTTAAAAACGTTTTAGTTTTCTGTCTAATTTTACCTTGTTTTTTCTCTTCCAGGGTGCACGTGGAGTGAGAGGGCATGGAGGGCCTCTAGGAGCAGCAGGAGTGAGGGTAAGACCCAATAAAAAAGGTTTAATATCAGGGTGGAAGTAAACTGTAATAATAACACCACACCACATCTCAAAATGGTTGACGCAGTGTCAGAGAATGTAATCACCCAGAAAATACAACTTTATGGGTAAAAGAGACAGTACCGTTCCATTAAGAGTGGGACAAAGACAAACCTCCAAGAATATCTGGAAACAGAGATGAGTGTGTACGTGCTCATTTTGATTATCTAATTATCTGTAGTGTTTATTTAGCTGTGAACAGGATTAGATAGAGGTCTGACCACAATGGGACGGATAGATAATGTATCTTTCCTCTATCCCAAATATGCAGGGCATTGTTGGGTTTGTATTTGAGAGGTCAAAGTTCAATTCAAACGAAGGCAAGTTTTATTCCTGATTACCTGTGTGCCTTTCATCCACGTGTCAGAAACACATAATAATATAAGCAATAGTTATGGTGGATGGTGAGCATGAGGCAATTACAAAACGATAAGAGGAAGGGCTCTACATGAAAGAAAGCCCTGATTTCAAATGCATTTTAAACCGGGTTAATGTTTATTTTGTTATCAAGTGACAGCGTTATTAAAAACCAACATCTTTTACATTTTAAGATTTTTTGGCTTTTTACCTATTTTGATTAAACTGAACAACCATTTATTAAAACCCCCAAATCTCATCTCTCAACTTCTTCGGTAAAAATAAGTAAGTCATTAAGCATTATTTTCAATATAAATAAGCTAATAGATAAAAATAATTAATCTTTAAGTCCGTTTTTCTTATGCCAGAACACAAAGCATCTCCTTAATCCATTTACCAGAACCAGGACACTAAATATATATATTAAATTATATTTACATGTTGCGTGTGACAGATGGAGAAACAAGGAAAAAGTAATTATCTTGTCCTTTCATCTACTAGAAAATATTAATAGTGAATCTGTAATAGATAAAAGCCACATGTTAGTGGTCGGCATAAAGTAAATAGTGTCATAAAAAGTAAACCATGCATGCTTTTATATTTGCATTTAATTACATCCTTTTGGTTTAAGTATACAACAAATAAACAATGCTTAATTTGATCCAAATCTGGTGCACATCAAAAAACTTCTCAAAAAAGGGTGTGGCCCCAGTAAAGAGCTCTGTGGTACTCCAAACATTAGTTACTGTATAAGACAGGGTTTCCCACACATAGACTTTAACATCCGCCAAAGTATATTTTGCGACCCATTTAGGTTTCATCTTTTTTGATCCGTCCGCGAGCACGACACCATCTGCGATCGATTAACTACCCCTCCTGTACCTGTTCGCTCTGCTATCGTGTGAAGGGTCTGCTTTATGCGCTCCGCAGTAACTCCGCTGCAAGACTCTGGCAAACAGTTCATGAGTGTGCTCCACTAGCACCCCCCCCCGCCCTGTTCTCGGCTACCCACACAAGTATATTTCAGATTTGTGGGAAACACTGTAAGATGTACATATTATTTTAAAACAATACAAGGTTACGGCAATACCATTTAGTAAATACCAAATTGGTAATAAATATATAAACGGCTCATCACACAAATTCATTTTACATTCAGCACTCAAACTATTTGTTACACTTGCAGACATCAATCCTTACATATCATAGTATAAAACGTCTCTGATAAAGTCTAAAGTCTCTATATAAATGTAATAAAAGAGAACTGTTACATGGCAAAAAAAACTGGATCATAGCTACGAGGAAGTTCTTGATTAAGGTGCAATTTTTATCACGTTGTCAAATCCTATCTGTCCACTAAGTTTTAAAGTTCTCACAAATAAAAAAAGCGTTTAAAACGTTCCTTTCTTTGGGAAAACTAATAAAACCTTTGAGGAAAACAATAGGATTATGCTAATATACAAAAAAATTAGAACATGACTGGATCGAGAATCTGAAAAATATATATTTTGATTAACCTGAATTCAAAACACTATAATCTCCTTCATCTCTGTTCAGCTGCTGAATACTTCAAACTAAGAGATCAAGGCCCTGAAATACAAAGCGAGCCATAAACACTATCTCCTATCCTGAACGTATTATTCAACACGAGGATCATTCACCAAGATAAACCTTGTATCAGGGAAATGAATCCTCTTGCCATGCTTTTATTAAACAGCAGCAGGTCTTTATGAACTTCTGTCCCTGCAGTTAAGTCTCTAATCCGTCGGGGAGCGTGCATGAATGGCCTCTTGTTGCAGAAATCTGAGGGCCCAAAGGGGTTTTTCCTGCAGCTCAGGGGGGGATTCGGGCAGGAAAAGAAGCCCTGAAAGAGCTCTCTGTTCCCCAGGAATGCCTAAAACCTGTCGGACCACTGTACGCCACAATCAGTGCCCACACCCACCCAGAAATATGTGGATAATTGGGAGGGGGGGTCCTTCAGATGATGTGAAGCTGGAAATGGTTTTTTCTGTGCATGTGGTCAGGTTAAAGTGGGGGAGGGAGGCGACTTTTCTTAGACAGTCAGACCTTGTGTTGTGATTCTGAGTATGTATTAAACTGTTTATTTCTGTGTGTTTTTACAGGGAGGTAAAGGGGACCCCGGCCTGCCCGGACTTCCTGGTCCTGCTGGGTATCTTGGGCAGAAGGGCGAGAGGGTAAGAGACACAAAAATGATACTTGAAAAAGCAAAGATTAACTTTAAAGGGACAGTTCAACACAAAAACCAAAACACGTTTTCCTTTCACCTGTAGAATTTCACAAGGACCGATACTTGTAACTTAAATGAAGACAGATGTTTGAAGGAGACGTTTTCACGGCAAAAGAAAATAGACATTAGAGAGGGAATTTAAACCTGTGTAACTTCCTAACAAACACCAGTAAGCAAATGCTTTTAAAGGGTGTATATTTCGAAGTATGTGGGATTTATTATGTATGGTTTTTCTCCGGAAGTTTTTCCTTGTACGATGTGAGGGTCTAAGGACAGAGGGTGTCGTTTTTCTCATCTGATATTCTGAACAATCTGTGCTGTTGTATTTGTTGTAAAGTGTCTCTACTGTAGGCTATTTTTATTATATGTACAGCACTTTGGCTCGACCAAAAATCGTTTAAAAATGTGCTATATAAATAAAACTTGATTTGATTTGTTTTTATTCCAAAATCTAATTGAGTACGGAAATTCACAACTACATTTCTGGTATTGTGACATCCCTTACCTGTAATGCTTTTGTGTGAGTTGATGAGTGTTGAATATATCGGCCGAAGAGATGTCTGTAGTCTGGAATATAATAAAACGACATTACACTCTGCTTGTGGTGCTAAAAAAGCAAATGCTATTGGAAACCTCAACAGCAAAGTATCTTTCAAAGAAATCATGACCCGGTTACTCAAGATAATCTACAGACATGTTGTGAGAAGTATCCTTTGGGATTTTCTTTTTAGGATGCGTGCCTCTACTAATCTACACAGAGCTCACCTAATATTAAAGCTTAGACAAAGAGGACTCCTCAATGTTTATGTTTACATCTCCCAATATCACAAGCTTCCTGTCCATACATGCTTTCTGCTGCACACTGATACAGTCGATGGGGGGAGCTTGGTAGAAAGAAAATAGTTCCACAACAATGTACATAGATTATCTTCAGTAACTGGATATGATTTCTGTAAAATGCTGAGAGAAAGAAGACATCTCTGAGGTAGATAACTCCAACACTCATCGACACACATCAACAACTTCTAGACTTAAATAGAATAACAGGTTAAAAAAAGGGGGTTTCTTTTATTTTGAGGTGAACTGTCCGTTTACAGGTGAAGCCATGAGCCATTTTCAATAACTGAAAAGCGTATATATATAAAAGTGTATTTCATACCCCACATGTTGATGTTATATTGTTGTTTTTACTGATGTTGTTGAGAATTCTGTTGATGTCAACATGTTATGTTCTCCTCCCTCAGGGTGCAGTTGGTGTTGATGGTCCACAGGGAGATCAGGTATGTTTCATACGTTTTAACACCTCTAATTCAAACTTAGATTACTGTTAAGCAGGGGCGTCGCCTGGACCTGAAAACATTCGGGGCTTAGCCCACAGTGGCGGCGGCTGCGGCGCTACAGTGGAATTTTCTACTGCAACACTCCCCACACGCACACATACAGTACACCTGAATGAAGGGTGATAATCAGCTCACGGCATATAGGCAGGGGTAAAGTGCTACTTTTTTGAGTGGGGGGCGGACCTCACCTCCTCTAAGGGGGTCCGGGGGGATGCTCCCCCGGGACGATTTTTTTTAAATATTGAAGTTAAAAGCATCAATCTGGTGCACTTTGAGAGCAACATTAAGAGATCTATGGATACATCTCTCAACACCCAGATGAAACAGAACTGTAAACAGATTTTCTTTTTCTTTATGGATATTTTTACAAATCACTCCCATTTTAAACTCTATTCTTGTTTTACTGCCATATAATATTTCATAACTGTTTTTCCTTTATTCTCTTATTTTTTTTATAATGATCATATGAAGGTGTGCCGCGGAAATAATCTTCTGAATAATTTGTGACCAAACCGTTTGAGACCCACTGAGATAACTTAGACTAAAGTTAACCATCTAACACTCTGAGAGTCCTTTAGCTCACCTGAGCCTCTCAGTCTGACAGGAGAGCTCTCCTCCAGCTTGTTGTGGAACAAACAGCTCCTTATGTCCATTAGTGCAGCTAGCTAACCAGATGCTAACAACACGGGCACCGGAGATGATCAAGTATAAAGATAAAAACTCTCATAATGGAGAAATGAGCTCCCCTGTCATAACTAGTCCGTCTCTCCTGTCTCTCCCTGTCTTCCTCCTTCAGTCTCTCTCCGTCTCTCTCTCTCTCTCTCTCCTCTCTCTCTCTCTCTCTCTTCTCTCCCTCTCTCTCTCTCTCTCTCTCTCTCTCTCTTCTCTCTCTCTCTCTCTCTCTCTCTCTCTCTATCACACTAACTGCCTATTTCCACACACATCATGAGCCGAGCTTGAATGACAAGCACACGTTTATTTTCCATGCAACTCTTCATGATTGGTCTGGGTGTTGCCTCTGTTGCCTTCACTGAAACGCGGGAAATTACAGTCCTGCCGTCCTCTCTTGTGTCATGATGAGGTTCACGTAAATCACGGTTAATGTATTATATTATTGGAGGGAGAATTGTCCGGGGCTACAGAAAAAACATTGGGGGCTAAAGCCCCGAATGCCCAGGCCAGGCGACGCCACTGCTGTTCAGTGTTTAATGGCTCTCCATTAAGAGCCAACATTAATCATGTCATGTACTTTTTATTTCAGGGAGCTGCAGGTGCTGAAGGAACTCCAGGAACTGTTGGAGAACTGGTGAGGAATCAGCAAAAGATAACTGACAGACTTTTTCTGCTTTGGTTTTCATGAAGTCTCAATGCATTGTTGTGAGGAATAAAACTTATGTTAAAAAGTGACATAATTAGGATGAAAAAAGTGTATAAACATACGATTTATCTTTCACTCTGCAGCAACACTTCTACAAACTCTCTGCAGACAAAAGTGCTTATCAATGTATCTTTTTCCTTTCAGGGAGAACAAGGAGAAGCAGGAGAGAAAGGATCGGTAAGTTCACATAAACAAAACATCCTAACCAAATCACGACTCTTCAGATATAATTCAGTCACTGGATACGTCGTGATTTTTTGGGAGCATAACCTCGTTGCTGCAGTTTGGAGTTAAGGGAGATGGAACTGTGAAGCAGCTGCAGGACATTTAGGATTTTACATGAACAGCTGATGCTTCTTGATAAATCTATTGTTTGGATTAGGTATTTTTAAACAACAGCAACTCCTGAAGAAAAGCCTTTCCTTCTTATTTATTGATCTTGCCTTTCTTTTGTTATTTGAGAATATGGACACAGGCCAAGGGGCCCAACATGTCTCACAAAGAGAGTACCAACAGATTCAATGACCACAAGTAAACATAACAGGGGAGGCTGTGGCTCAGTGGATAGTGTGCTGGACTTCGAATCAGGGGGTAGCAAGTTTGAGTCCCACTGCAGTCAGCATGTCGTTGTGTCCCTGAGACACAACGACATGTGGGGATTGTCCACAGTATTAAATGTATGTAAGCAAATCTTAGTCTAACAAATGACATGTAATGTAATGTAATAACAAATCTATCAAAAGCAGAAAATCAACTGCAAAGAGACAGAAATCAACTACAAAGACAAACCAAACAACTATGGAGTGATATCAAATTACATTAAAAAAAATAATAAAGAAAATATTGACTTTATATAATATAAAATAATCTGTTTCTCCACCTCTCACATCAGCTAACCCTATAATAATCCTTTGTGTCTACCTGCTGCTGTTGATAACAGACAGGCCAACCAGGAGAAACAGGAAACAAAGGACCAGAGGGCGGCCGAGGACAGCCGGGAAAAGATGGAAAAGAGGGTCAATCCGGACCACGAGGCATGCAGGGAGACATGGGAGTACCGGGACTAACGGGGACTCAGGGACCAGCGGTAGGACGGTTTTCTTAAAGGTCACCTATTATGCAAAATCCACTTCTCCATGTCTCTTCTACATCAACATGTGTCCCCTTTTCTTCATGTCTCTTCTACATCAACATGTGTCCCCTCTTCTTCATGTCTCTTCTACATCAACATGTGTCCCCTCTTCTCCATGTCTCTTCTACATCAACATGTGTCCCCTTTTCTTCATGTCTCTTCTACATCAACATGTGTCCCCTCTTCTTCATGTCTCTTCTACATCAACATGTGTCCCCTTTCTTCATGTCTCTTCTACATCAACATGTGTCCCCTCTTCTTCATCAACATGTGTCCCCTCTTCTTCATGTCTCTTCTACATCAACATGTGTCCCCTCTTCTTCATGTCTCTTCTACATCAACATGTGTCCCCTCTTCTTCATGTCTCTTCTACATCAACATGTGTCCCCTCTTCTTCATGTCTCTTCTACATCAACAGTGTCCCCTCTTCTTCATGTCTCTTCTACATCAACATGTGTCCCCTCTTCTTCATGTCTCTTCTACATCAACATGTGTCCCCTCTTCTTCATGTCTCTTCTACATCAACATGTGTCCCCTCTTCTTCATGTCTCTTCTACATCAACATGTGTCCCCTCTTCTTCATGTCTCTTCTACATCAACATGTGTCCCCTCTTCTTCATGTCTCTTCTACATCAACATGTGTCCCCTCTTCTTCATGTCTCTTCTACATCAACATGTGTCCCCTCTTCTTCATGTCTCTTCTACATCAACATGTGTCCCCTCTTCTTCATGTCTCTTCTACATCAACATGTGTCCCCTCTTCTTCATGTCTCTTCTACATCAACATGTGTCCCCTCTTCTTCATGTCTCTTCTACATCAACATGTGTCCCCTCTTCTTCATGTCTCTTCTACATCAACATGTGTCCCCTCTTCTTCATGTCTCTTCTACATCAACATGTGTCCCCTCTTCTTCATGTCTCTTCTACATCAACATGTGTCCCCTCTTCTTCATGTCTCTTCTACATCAACATGTGTCCCCTCTTCTTCATGTCTCTTCTATATCAACATGTGTCCCCTCTTCTTCATGTCTCTTCTACATCAACATGTGTCCCCTCTTCTTCATGTCTCTTCTACATCAACATGTGTCCCCTCTCCTCATGTCTCTTCTACATCAACATGTGTCCCCTCTTCTTCATGTCTCTTCTACTATCAACATGTGTCCCCTCTTCTTCATGTCTCTTCTACATCAACATGTGTCCCCTCTTCTTCATGTCTCTTCTACATCAACATGTGTCCCCTCTTCTTCATGTCTCTCCTACATCAACATGTGTCCCCTCTTTCTTCATGTCTCTTCTCTACATCACATGTGTCCCCTCTTCTTCATGTCTCTTCTACATCAAACATGTGTCCCCTCTTCTTCATGTCTCTTCTACATCAACATGTGTCCCCTCTTCTTCATGTCTCTTCTACATCAACATGTGTCCCCTCTTCTTCATGTCTCTTCTACATCAACATGTGTCCCCTCTTCTTCATGTCTCTTCTACATCAACATGTTGTCCCCTCTTCTTCATGTCTCTTCTACATCAACATGTGTCCCCTCTTCTTCATGTCTCTTCTACATCAACATGTGTCCCCTCTTCTTCATGTCTCTTCTACATCACATGTGTCCCCTCTCTTCATGTCTCTTCTACATCAACATGTGTCCCCTCTTCTTCATGTCTCTTCTACATCAACATGTGTCCCCTCTTCTTCATTCTCTTCTACATCAACATGTGTCCCCTCTTCTTCATGTCTCTTCTACATCAACATGTGTCCCTCTTCTTCATGTCTCTTCTACATCAACATGTGTCCCCTCTTCTTCATGTCTCTTCTACATCAACATGTGTCCCCTCTTCTTCATGTCTCTTCTACATCAACATGTGTCCCCTCTTCTTCATGTCTCTTCTACATCAACATGTGTCCCCTCTTCTTCATGTCTCTTCTACATCAACATGTGTCCCCTCTTCTTAATGTCTCTTCTACATCAACATGTGTCCCCTCTTCTTCATGTCTCTTCTACATCAACATGTGTCCCCTCTTCTTCATGTCTCTTCTACATCAACATGTGTCCCCTCTTCTTCATGTCTCTTCTACATCAACATGTGTCCCCTCTTCTTCATGTCTCTTCTACATCAACATGTGTCCCCTCTTCTTCATGTCTCTTCTACATCAACATGTGTCCCCTCTTCTTCATGTCTCTTCTACATACTCTTTCTTCCATGTCTCTTCTACATCAACATGTGTCCCCTCTTCTTCATGTCTCTCCTACATCAACATGTGTCCCCTCTTCTTCATGTATCTTCTATATCAACATGTGTCCCCTCTTCTTCATGTATCTTCTACATCAACATGTGTCCCCTCTTCTTCATGTCTCTTCTACATCAACATGTGTCCCCTCTGTGGAAAGAGACTCTGAAAGTTTCAGGAACAAAGATTCTCTCTCTTTTTGATCCATTTCTATAAAAACCTGTCTGAAAATGAGCTGATCAGATTTTGGCCACTTTATGATGTCATAACGATGTTTTGTCTTGTGTAACCATTAGCCAATCAGCAACCAAGGTAACCCCGAAAAATAAGTAAGAAAATAGTATTAAACAGGAAGGTTTGTTTCAATATTTAACATCATTTACAGAATATTTAGAGATGTTTTATATGAAGTATAACTTTTATGGAACTATATATATTTGGTTTGCTAAAGACCTCACGGCCATGTTTGCATGTGATGTGTCCCATTATAATACAGCATGACTTACAGCTGATCACTATCAATGTGTGGTTTTCAGGGGAAAACTCCAACAGATACTCACATCAGACAGGTCTGCATGAGGGTAATGCAAGGTAAGTGTTTTTCACTTTCTGTTTGATTTGTGCCATACTCATCAAGAATTTAAATCACAATCAAAATGTAAGATAGCGTGGCAGGGGGTCCCTCGACAAAAAGGGATTTTCCCATTGAATTTTGGAATATTGTAGAAAATAAGATCTGTGTCAAACAAACGTTTATGTTGCTGACAGGTTTAGTCCAGCAGGATAATCCCCACCAAATAGTTTAAGCATAAAAACAATCTCCAGAAGTGAATAGCTAACATTACGCTACAAAGGAACTACAGCACGGTCACATTAGCTAAGCTAAAGGCGGCTAATGTTCGGCATGAAGACGTTAAATATGGTCTCTACTTTTATTTTATTTTGTAAAGCTTTGAATTGCCGTGTGCTGAAAGGTGTTATATAAATACACTTGCCTTACCTTACCTGTTGGCAACTTCTATTTTTAAGTCACATAGAAGCTTAAAAATTCATCAGTCAGTATTTACTGATTACAAAACCTAAACATCTCTTCAGCTTGTGACATTATTTCAGGCTTCTAACCAAACACTAGTCAAAGAGCCATTGACTTCAAAACAAAGGAACCCAGAGGTGCTAATATGCTAACTCATTTCCAGGTTTAAGGACTCATTCCTACACCACTCTGTGAAAGCTGTGATATTTTAAGTTTCCCTGGACCAGTGTCATCCTCTCCTGAATATTGTTGTGTAATGGAAGCTTCGAATAAAGAACAGAGCGAGTCTAGTCCAAACTGAACGTTTTTTCTTTATATTATTGTAACCGTTTCCAACAAGAACGGTAGAAGACAGAGACAATGCACTCGACATACTCGTATTCACTTCAAGTCAAAACAGGAAAGAGAATGAGCAGGACACATACTTGCACTTCAAAATAAAAGCATTTCCTGTCAAACATTTCACCCGTAACCTTTGTCAAGAAGCAAATGAACATATTATGTTACTGCCTTAAATAAAACAAGTTACAACAAATATAGAATGTCCATCCTGGCAGCTGTGACCACGTATAAACAAATCTACCAAAAGCAGAAAATCACCTGCAAAATGACAAACATGGGAATTTCTCCACCTGTCATTGTGTTCTTGATTCAGCCAAGTGTTGTCTACCTGCTGCTGTTAGACACGTTTCTATTCAACCTCTGCTCCAAGTGTTGTCTACCTGCTGCTGTTAGACACGTTTCTATTCAACCTCTGCTCAATATAAACGTCCGTCCTGTCCTCCTGTGTCACAGAGCAGCTTGAGTTAACCACAGACATTATTTCAGGCAAACAACAAAAAACACATTCAGAAACCATTGACTTAGTAAAAATGAACCCAGAAGGGCTAAAAAGCTAACTCATTCCTGCACCACCCTACACAAGCTATGACTTTTAAAGCTGTCCTGGAAGAATTGAGTTAAGTTGAGTTTATTTGTTTATAGTGTCGTGGACAGTCCCCATTGATCAACTGTCACAAAGAACATCAAGAATGTCATCTTCTTCCACGTCCACCCTGTCCTCCTCTCCCACAGATCAGCTGGCCCAGCTAGCAGCCAGTCTGAGCAGACCTGAGTCAGGAGACTCAGGTCTGCCCGGCCCCCCTGGCCCCCCTGGACCTCAAGGAGTCAGCGGAGAGAACGGTTTCCCCGGACACAGCGGGTCCCGAGGACTGCCCGGTCTGAAGGGTCCAGCTGGACTACTGGGTCGAAAAGGACCCAAAGGTGAGATCAGCGTCAAACCACCAGAGATGGCAAAAGTGCACACATCCTTTACTCAAGTAGAAGTACAGATACTCGTGTTTAAAAATACTCTGGTGAAAGTAGAAGTACTGACTAAACTTCTTTTTTACATTACATTACATTTAGCTGACGCTTTTATCCAAAGCGACTTACAATAAGTGCGTTCGACCAACAAAATACAAACTTGAAGAAAACAGAATCATAAGTACATCAGGTTTCATAGAGCCAAAACATTTCAAGTGCTACTCAACTGGCTTTAGATAAGCCAGCCCTTTATTAGTATATAAGTGCTTTGTTAATAGTTCTATCGCTCGAATTGGAGTCGAAAGAGATGAGTTTTCAGTCTGCGCCGGAAGGTGTGCAAGCTTTCTGCTGTCCTGATGTCAATGGGGAGCTCATTCCACCATCCTGGAGCCAGGACAGCAAACCCACGTGTTTTTGCTGATGGGAACTTGGGTCCCCCTCGCAGCGAGGGTGCAGCGAGCTGTTTGGCTGATTTCTCAAGTCAAAGTAAAGAGGGCTTTGAAATGTACTTCAGTAAAAAGTACCCATAACTAGCAGCTGTTTTAAAGAGTACCTGACCTCCCTTTATATTAATAGAACAATAATGTCATTGTTCGCTAATGAATGTTTCCATGCTGAACAACGGCAACATGACAACGTTTCCATTGGTCCCTCTTCTTTAGAGAAGACCAGGAAATGATGGATACACGGATCGTGTTCAAATCAATAGGCACGCAATGACTCTAAAGAATAATGATCACGCACCAAACACACATTCAGACTAAAGGAACCAGCTGTTTGGAAAATGAGAGAAGTAGAAAGTACAGGTATTTGAGTTCAACATGTAAGAAGTAGAAAGTACAGGTATTTGAGTTCAACATGTAAGAAGTAGAAAGTACAGGTATTTGAGTTCAACATGTAAGAAGTAGAAAGTACAGGTATTTGAGTTCAACATGTAAGAAGTAGAAAGTACAGGTATTTGAGTTCAACATGTAAGAAGTAGAAAGTACAGGTATTTGTGTTCAACATGTGAGAAGTAGAAAGTACAGGTATTTGAGTTCAACATGTAAGAAGTAGAAAGTACAGGTATTTGAGTTCAACATGTATGAAGTAGAAAGTACAGGTATTTGAGTTCAACATGTAAGAAGTAGAAAGTACAGGTATTTGTGTTCACATGTAAGAAGTAGAAAGTACAGGTATTTGAGTTCAACATGTGAGAAGTAGAAAGTACAGGTATTTGGTTCAACATGTAAGAAGTAGAAAGTACAGGTATTTGAGTTCAACATGTATGAAGTAGAAAGTACAGGGTATTTGTGTTCAACATGTGAGAAGTAGAAAGTACAGGTATTTGAGTTCAAACATGTGAGAAGTAGAAAGTACAGGTATTTGTGTTCACATGTAAGAAGTAGAAAGTACAGGTATTTGTGTTCAACATGTAAGAAGTAGAAAGTACAGGTATTTGTGTTCAACATGTAAGAAGTAGAAAGTACAGGTATTTGAGTTCAACATGTAAGAAGTAGAAAGTACAGGTATTTGAGTTCAACATGTAAGAAGTAGAAAGTACAGGTATTTGTGTTCAACATGTAAGAAGTAGAAAGTACAGGTATTTGAGTTCAACATGTAAGAAGTAGAAAGTACAGGTATTTGAGTTCAACATGTAAGAAGTAGAAAGTACAGGTATTTGTGTTCAACATGTAAGAAGTAGAAAGTACAGGTATTTGGGTTCAACATGTAAGAAGTAGAAAGTACAGGTATTTGAGTTCAACATGTAAGAAGTAGAAAGTACAGGTATTTGTGTTCAACATGTAAGAAGTAGAAAGTACAGGTATTTGGGTTCAACATGTAAGAAGTAGAAAGTACAGGTATTTGTGTTCAACATGTAAGAGTAGAAAGTACAGGTATTTGAGTTCAACATGTAAGAAGTAGAAAGTACAGGTATTTGAGTTCAACATGTAAGAAGTAAGAAAAGTACAGGTATTTGAGTTCAACATGTAAGAAGTAGAAAGTACAGGTATTTGTGTTCAACATGTAAGAAGTAGAAAGTACAGGTATTTGTGTTCAACATGTAAGAAGTAGAAAGTACAGGTATTTGTGTTCAACATGTAAGAAGTAGAAAGTACAGGTATTGTGTTCAACATGTAAGAAGTAGAAAGTACAGGTATTTGTGTTCAACATGTAAGAAGTAAGAAAGTACAGGTATTTGTGTTCAACATGTAAGAAGTAGAAAGTACAGGTATTGTGTTCAACATGTAAGAAGTAGAAAGTACAGGTATTTGTGTTCAAAATGTAAGAAGTAGAAAGTACAGGTATTTGTGTTCAACATGTAAGAAGTAGAAAGTACAGGTATTTGTGTTCAACATGTAAGAAGTCAAAGTAAGAAGTCTTCAGAAAAATAAGTAGTGGAGTAAAGTACTGATAACAGAAAGATGTACTTAAGTAATGAAGTATTTGTACTCCACTACTTCCCACCTCTGCAAACCACCCGTATGTGACTGTGAGGTCGTTGGATTAAACCTCCCTACTGTGCCTCTCTAATCAATGAGAATGTACTGTTGATATGAGGTAAAACAATTAGTAGCAACTAACATTTTTAATAAAATAGTAGTAATGATCTTAATTACAATAATGTATTTTGTCAAGGAGCTTCAGATGCATATTTGTATTACCTCATTTTGATATCCTGTCCTGACTGACCCCCTCAGGGAAGAATCAGGTCACGTTGATGTTAATGAAGCAGCAGATGAGGTGTGAAGCCTCAGCTCGAACTCAGCTAAATATGGAAACTTTAATTACGTGTATCCTCGTGGTGATGGTTGTGTTTCCTGTCTTCAGGTGACGTGGGAGACCGAGGGGACAGAGGACCCGTATTGAGAGGACCCAAAGGAGCACCCGGAGCAACCGGTCAACAAGGTAAAAGAAAAGCATGACGAAGAAATCTGATTTTAGAATGAAATGTCCTCAATATTCAAGTATTTTATCGTCATGTGTTCATAGCTACAGTGTAGATATGTCAATGAAAATGTTAGGTCACAGGCTCCTCCAACAGTGCAACACAATAACACAGATACAATAGTTAAAATAGTGCAAGTAAATACAAATAAAATAGAATGGAAATATCCTCAATATCTGATTGTGCTGCATCAACACATCAACACACTCAGCTTTATTCAACAGTCATCAGTTTGTAGTGATTAGTTCAGAAAGGGATCAAATAAAAAAACACAACTTGGAGTGTTTTTGATAATTTCACAGTTTTTAGCGTAATGTTCGTAGTTCTGGTTTCAGACAGAGGGTGAAAAGAGGTGCTGCAGCACAGGCAGTATGAGACAAATGAAGAGCTTTTTGAACATTAAAGCATGGAGACATGTAGAGACACTACATACTGATATACACCTGAACATCAGCAGGAGAGGACTCTTTAAAGTAGAGACACTACATACTGATATACACCTGAACATCAGCAGGAGAGGACTCTTTAAAGTAGAGACAACCACATACTGATATACAACCTGAACATCAGCAGGAGAGGACTCTTTAAAGTAGAGACACTACATACTGATGTACACCTGAACATCAGCAGGAGAGGACTCTTTAAAGTAGAGACACTACATACTGATATACACCTGAACATCAGCAGGAGAGGACTCTTTAAAGTAGAGACACTACATGCTGATATACACCTGAACATCAGCAGGAGAGGACTCTTTAAAGTAGAGACACTACATACTGATATACACCTGAACATCAGCAGGAGAGGACTCTTTAAAGTAGAGACACTACATACTGATGTACACCTGAACAACCTATAAAATGTGCACGTGAAGCCGCCCAAAGTACACCTTATTTTCTCCATGTGTAGAAACTTCATAAGTCCTGTCACCCACTGGACATGAGTGGGAGACGCCTTCCACCTCATAAGTATAAGTCGCCTAGCACAAGCAACAGCGTTTGAATAATGTCTGGAAAGGACAACGTCGTCCGGGACGCCTCCAAAAATTGCAGTAAGAGGAGAATGGGTACATTTTACTCTAAAGATCTTAGAAAATGTATCAAATATAGACGTCCAATAATTATGAAGATTTGGACATATCCAGAAAGTATGAATGAGGGACCCTGTTACTGACGTACATCTGTTGCATGAGGGATCTACCCCTGGATAAATCTTTGCTAGCTATAGGCTAATAGGTGACCTTTACCTTATTATGTTCTCTTTAATCTTCTCTCAGGTAATTCGGGGCGACCGGCGTACGGTAAGGACGGCCGTGAGGGGATGAGAGGACCCCGCGGTGTTCCCGGTATGTTGGGCGTTCCCGGTCCTCCTGGTCCTGCCGGTGTTACCGGATGGTGCGAGTCGTCTCAGTGCATCCTGCCCATGGTGGCAGCGCCTGTTTCTGCAAAGGACTCCAGCATGAAGGGTCCCAATGAAATGTGAGGAGGGGGAACTGAAAGACTGGAGGAAAAACATCCACGGAAGTTCATTTTGTCTTTAATTTGGAAAGTAATTTTGTTCTCTTGAAGCCATCTTTTTGAGTTTGACATGGAGGTGGACACTGAAACATCTGAAACTCCTTTACATAAAAAAAAGTTTCATTTTTACCTCACTCTTTGCCATCTCTGTACTGTACAATTAGCGAAATGAAGAATTCACTGATTCAAACATTCCTATGAAAGCAACGAGACAAACGTTTATCTGTATTTTTATGTAAATGTGTCAATACGCAAATTATACAGCTGGATGACGTCCATTTTGTTTGTGAGTATCTGTGTTGTTATTCCACTTTAACCCCCGCTGTGCCTCTAAATGGAGGATATGTTTGATAATTTCTCTGTCATGGCGACTGTTGTTTTTGTGAATGGAGGGCGGCGATGTGTGGAAACCTCTCTGACAGTTTTATATGACTTCTTATTTATTATATCAAGATTCAAGGTGACATCTACGAGTTGTACAAAGGAGGAAATAAACACATTTTGATAACCTCTTGCATGTTTTGTATGGGCAAAAACAACCAGGACAGAGTAAGAAAGAACATCGAATTAAAAATGAATTTCTTTGATCAACAGCTTTGAGAATTATTCCTATAAAACCTGATGATCCAGCTATGAAGATAATGCCAAGAAAAGTAGATTTTGAATCTTTAAAGGGGACCTATCATGCAAAATGCACTTTTGTACGTCTTTGATACATGAATATGTGTCCCCGGTGTGTCAGGGAACTCGCCAATGTCAGAAAACACAACCCTCTCTCTTTTCCTCCATACCCAAATCTCTTAAAAAGGGGTTGCAACGGATCTGATACAGACTGATCCAGATTTGAACACTTCTCTGATGTCACAGAAGTGGTGCTACGGCTATTGCGCCAACTCCACCAATCAGGAGGAGACAGCCACGGACATTGCCGTTCGAAAGCGCTGGAGACAGCAATATTGGTAAATGATTTAATATCAGATTATAATATTGATATATGCTGTCTCACTGAAACTTGGTTGAGACATGAAGAATATGTCAGCATAAATGAGGCCACTCCACCCAGCCATATCAATACTCATATTGCCCGAGGCACGGGCCGAGGAGGTGGAGTTGCAGCAATCTCTGACTCAAGTTTACTTATCAATACTAAACCAAAATTAAATTATACCTCCTTTGAAAGTCTCGTTTTTAGTCTTACGCATCCGACATGGAAAACTTTGCAGCCAATCTTATTTGTTACAGTGTACCGTGCACCAGGTCCTTATTCAGAATTATTATCAGAATTCTCTGAGTTTTTATCAACTTTGGTTCTTAAAACAGAAGTAATTATCGTAGGTGACTTTAATATTCATGTTGACGACGATAAAAATAGCCTTACTGTTGCATTTAACTCTATATTAGATTCTGTTGGTTTTTGTCAGAGTGTAAATAAACCAACCCACTGCTATAATCACACTCGACCTTGTTCTGACTTATGGTATTGAAATTGAGCAACTATTAGTCGAACCGCATAATCCTGCTTTATCCGACCATTTCTTAGTAACTTTTGAAGTACTGTTACGAGACTACAAAGCATTAGTCAAAAGCTCCTGCAGCAGAAACCTATCTGTTAGTGCTATAGCCAAATTTAAGGAAGAGATTCCACCAATACTTAACTCGATAGCATGTCTGCATGTAAGGGAGGAAACTTATACAAAATGTACACCACCCCAAATTGATCATGTTGTTGATAATGCTACAGATGCGCTGCGAATAAAATTAGACTCTGTTGCTCCTTTGAAAAAGAAGAAAATAAAACAACATAGATTAGCTCCATGGCATAATGCCGAAACCCGCAAAATAAAGCAAAAGTCGAGACAACTTGAAAGGATATGGCGTTCCACTAAACTTGAAGAATCTCGTTTAATGTGGCATATTACTCTCAATGAATATAAGAAAGCACTGCGTAAAGCGAGAGCAGCCTACTACTCTTCATTAATAGATGAGAATAAGAATAATGCAAGATTTCTTTTCAGCACTGTAGCCAGGCTGACAGAGAGCCACAGCTCGATTGAGCCTTCTATTCCCATAGCACTCAGTAGCAATGATTTTATGTGCTTTTTTAACGATAAAATTGTTACTCTTAGAAACAAAATTAATGACCTCTTGCCTTTGACCAGTATAGTGTTATCAACGGCTCCCGGAAACGTAAGTTCTAATATTACACTAGATAGTAAACTAGAATGCTTTTCAGCCATAAACCTTGAACAATTAAATGCAATGATTCTCTCTTCTAAACCATCAACGTGTATGTTAGACCCAATTCCAACTAAGCTGTTGAAGGAAGTTTTTCCATTAATTAGCACTTATTTATTAAACATTAAGAATATGTCTTTATTATCAGGCTATGTTCCACAATCATTCAAAGTAGCAGTGATAAAACCGCTTCTTAAAAAGCACAACCTCGATCCAGAGGTTTTAGCCAACTATAGACCTATTTCTAATCTTCCGTTCCTCTCAAAAATTCTTGAGAAAGCGGTCGCAAAACAGTTGTGTGATTACTTAAAAAACAATGATTTATTTGAAGATTTTCAGTCTGGCTTTAGAACACATCATAGCACAGAGACAGCTCTGGTTAAAGTCACAAATGACATTCTAATAGCCTCTGACAAGGGACGTGTCTCTATTCTTGTTTTGCTCGATTGATTGATTGATTGAAAAGTTTATTAACAGCTTGTATATTGGGTACAGTACAGTACAGCTCAAAACATACAATTGTTAAGGGGATGCAGACCAGAGAAAGACTTTCGTCTTGTTTACATCAGGGTCCCCCATTTCCAATTCATCATGTCATTTAAGACATATAAGACATATAAGACATATTTGACATACAGATGGCTTATTTACAATTTACATACAGGTGGTTTTTTACATACAGATTGCTTATTTACAATTTTCATTTTAGATTTCGTTCTAATACATCCTAACCGGACATTTAAGACATACCAAGTCTACAGATATACAGTTAGTAACAGAGTCTAAAATGCGAGTATATACATAGATGGGGGGGGGGGGGAAGCTGTCCATTGAACGACAGGTTGAGATTTGTACCATTACCGGGGCCAGTTTTGCAATGCTCTCCCCCGAAGGTGCTCTTTAAGAGAGGTTTTGAAGGTAAGTATAGTTTTACTTTCCTTTACAGTTGTGGGAAGAGCGTTCCACCTTGATGTGGTATAATTGCGAAACGTGTATTCCCCCTTTTTTGTGCCAAATCTGGGTTTCACATGATTTGTGGAGCTCCCTCTGGTGTTATGATCATGGTATTCCTTGACCTTTGGGAATAATTTTGACATGTACATGGGTACCATAGAGGTGTAGTGGATCTTGTAGACCAGGCCCATTGCAAGTAGCTGTACTCTGTCGTCTACTCTAAGCCATCCTAGGTTGTCAAAGTGGGCAGAGGTGAGGTGGGTTCTAGATGAAAGGTCAAGCAGTAGTCTGACCAGTTTATTTTGCGATGTTTTGAAGTTTTATTTTTAGCGCCTTGGAGGTGCTTATGGTATCATGGACGTGCAAGCATAGTCATAGTACCCTTGAATGAGTGCTCCTGCCAGAGTTTTCAGGGTGTTTTTGTTTACCAGAGAGGAGATCCGGTATAGGAATCTAGTTCTTTGATTGACTTTTTTTATTACATTGGATGCCATTTTGTCACAGGAGAGGTTTGCCTCAAGAATAGATCCTAGGTATGTAATTTCCTTCTTACTTGTGACAATAATGTCGCCCACTGCAACTGAGAAGTCGTCGGATTTGCTGAGATTATGTTTCGAACCGAAGAGAATGGACTCTGTTTTACCCAGGTGTAATGATAATTTATTATCGGCGAGCCAGGTGCAGATTCTGCCGAGCTCGGAGTTGAGGGTTTTTTCAACCTGCAACCTGTTCCTGCCAGAGACCAGCAGGGCTGAGTCGTCCGCGAACAGGAACAAGTTGAAGTCACATGCTGATGACATGTCATTTACATACATTAGGAACAGTAACGGACCTAATATGCTTCCTTGTGGAACACCACAGCTCACTGGGAGGGGGGGGGGACAGAGTACCCGTTTACCTCCACCATCTGTTCTCTCCCCTCCAGGTAGGATTGCATCCAGCTCACCGATAGTTTATCAAAACCAATTGAAAACCAAGCCATGTTTCTTCAACTTGTGTACCACTGAGCTCATCTGACCAGTCCAGGCTCTCCAGTTCTAGGTTAAAGGCCTCGCTAGTAGTTTTTGAGGTCTCTAGATATGACTGTTTTGTGACAGCCGGCCCTTTGTTTTAGCTTTTTGCGGGTACAGAATATCATATAATGATCACTTAACCCGCATGCTATAACCCCTTTACTGGAGATCCTGGACTTGTCAGAGGTCAGAATGAGATCAATGGTAGTTTGTGTTGTTTCACATACCCGGGTGGGTTGGGTGATTAGCTGGCTGAAGCCGTGCAGATCACAAATCCTACTTAAGGACTTGAAGACGGACGTGTCTTTACGTTGCATATCCGTGTTCCAGTCTCCAATAATAATTGTCTCTACATCCCCCACATCAGCCAAACACCCATCTAATGTATCATGTGGTGGTGGTGGTGGTGGGGGGAGGAGGGAGGAGGGAGGCTCCGTTGTAGCTTTAGCCGTTGATATGCTAGCAGGGTGGCTAACAACATGGCGGATATTTGTTGACTCGGATCTCGGTTCTCTTCCTCTCGTCACTGCCTCATGCGTGTCTGTCTGCCGAGGCGTCCCCGGGGGAATCTCGAAGTCTCCGTTTATTCCTTGGTCTCCGCTGTCTCCACGGTCTCTGTTGTCGTCGCGTAGTTGTTGTTGCAGCGGAAGAGATGCTAGTTCTGATGCTAATTGTGATGCTAGCTCCTCGAGCCTGCAGGACTGGCTTCTTGTCTGCACCGGGCCCGGATTCAGATGGATGTCTCCCGCTAACAATAAGACCAAGACGATCATACTTCTTCGGTCTAGTTTGCCTGACGGGGGTAAGTACTTTCGCGTCGGGTTTGCAGTTAATAATGCATGAATGCTTGCACTTCCAAAAGCAAGGTGTTTCCTTTCCCTGCCGTTGAGAAGGTAAAAGTCATTGTGGTTCATTTTATCCCCGCTTTCATTACTCTCCTTCTCTAAGTGATGTTGCCTCATTGATGAGTTGAGGTAGGAGTCCATAATCCATATTGTCAGGAGGATGAAATATGTAAAAAATCGTGAGGAATAACCGCCAAAGCGGGAGCTCTCGAAAATGCGACCACTCATAGTGAAACCGGATGTTGAATCGATCTCAGTGTTGCCTTTGATACTATCGACCATGATATCTTATTGCAAAGACTAGAGCACTTAGTTGGCATACAGGGAACTGCTTTAGACTGGTTTAGGTCCTATCTATCTGAACGCTCTCAGTTTGTACGTGTCAATGATGAATCTTCCACGCAAACCAAAGTTAGCCATGGAGTGCCACAGGGCTCAGTGCTCGGACCTATTTTGTTCACAT